TTAAAAAAATCCTCTCCATTAAATACAACAAATGTACCCACGCCCGGGATGTACTTGAAAAAGAAGATATCCCGTAACGAAACGAAAGTTTGGATTTCTCTCGGGAATTTTTAAAAAGAAATTGTTGGTTATTACTTATTAGTTGGTTTGGAACTTCGTAATGACACTTACACGCATCTAAAAAAATAACAATTGCAACAAACTTGCGAAGAGATTGACACGTTGCAAAACCCTGAAATTCGTCTGAAACTTCCAACTACGTCACTGCACGAAAGAGTATAAACTATCTAACATTCGGACTTGTCTTCCTCGACCAACTGTTGCGTGTCCTTCCCCGAGTCGATGGGTGTCGGGTCGAGCTCTCTTCTCTTCAGGTGCAACTGCGGTGGCTCCTTGTGCTGGATGCTAGACGGCTTCATCTCAGCTGGCAATTCGTACATGCTGCTGGCGCCTGTGCCGTTCGTAGCGCCAGTTTCCGTGTTCACCGCGTCGTACATGGGGTTGCTGAAGTCTCTGTTCTTGTTACTCACGTCACCAAGATTGTACTCCACGTCCAGAGGTTCCTGAAGAAGAGATTTTCCAATGTGGTAATAATAATCACGACAGCACGAGAGCAGACAGGAGAAAGTGAAAAATACGTACCATTCTTTCGTGTGCAGGTACACCAAACTCAACGTTGCTTCCTTGTCTGAAGGACACGCTCTGAGCACCAGTTAAACTGCCAAGACCACCAGGTTTCCCGCTGCGAAAATCACCAAATCCATGCCATGGAATTGATCGAGCACACGGTGGTTTATGAATTAAAATTACTATGATAAAACAGCATTAGCAAACTTACAACGGCCGTTTCTTAAGCACCATAATAACAGCCGCGGCTCCGAGGAGAACCAGGATGGAGACAACGATGGGTATCACGATAGCCGCGGTGGCGTTGCTCGACCTGGCCCCTAACGTGACCTCGCAGTACTCGCCGTGGAAACGAGCCGGACAGTCGCACTGCAGCTTACTCTCCTCGACCTCTTGACACAGTCCGCCATTCCTACAAGGGCAGATCCTCGGCGCAGGAAGCGGCCTCTCGTTAGTCGCGTCGCAGTGACGCTCGTTCGACCGTGCAGTCTCCCGGTGTTGGAGAGGTCCGATGCTGTCCGAGCAGAGGCAGCGGTTCCCACCGGGAATCGGGACGCACAGGTGGGTACACTGGTCCTCGTGGCACAGGTTCCTCAAGGAGATGTTGTATCTCTGCTGATGGTACACCTTCACCCCGCCGGAATTAGGCACGTGCCTGATCATGACCTCTGGCACTCCCCTGCCGAATTTGTCTTGCCTGATCAGTTCGCCAGTCCTTCTTGTTGTCCAGTACAGACTGTTCTCGAAAACGTCTAGAGACACCGGATGCTTTAGGCTGTCTCCCTTAAGGATAACCTTTCTGTTTGATCCATCCTGCAATAAAGAACTATTGTATAAATTATCCTGGAACATTTCACGATGTCTTCACGACATCTGACTTTGAAGAACATACAAATATTCCAAGTATATAGTACGTCATTATATTTATATAGCAACTCAAATACTTGTTTCATTTAAAGCAACTGATTGTTCTCGATTTTCCTCGATGATGCATACTTGAAAGATCAAACAGATCAAAGATACCTGTTCGATAGATTCAATGGTGTTGAGTTTGCTGTCGGCCCAGTAGAGAACATGCTGCATGGAGTAGTCAATGGTGAGAGCGATAGGTTGTCCAATGCGGTCAGAGACCAGTTGTTTTCGTCTGTCACCGTCCATCCAAGCGATCTCGATCTTCGGTTGGCTTCCGGCATCTGCCCAAATGGTCCGGCCCACCTCCGGGTCTACGACTATGGAGGTTGGGATTTCCAGGCCGACTGTGATTAAACTTCGACGGTATCTACCGTCAGCTTTCGAGACCATCACTCTTCCAAACAACGTTGCACCGGAGGAATCAATCTCTGTCCAGTAGAGATTGCCAGAAATCCAATCAACGGCCAAGCTTGTCAACCCTGACTCGCCTTTGAACAAAGATAAAGGTAAGATAAATTGATATAATATGATAATAATTGACAAAAATTAATATAATATAATATAATATAATATAATATAATATAATATAATATAATATAATTAATACTGGATGGGCTGAAAGTTTCTTCCCACCTATTTTTTTTAAATAAAACATCAAAATGAGAAACATAATAATTTCATTAACTTTGAATTGAATTTAAGTTCAAGCATGATCTTCTCTGATTATATTTTAAAAACAGAATTTATTTACAATAGTATTTACTTTGGCAAGGAAATGATCTTTGATAACTAATATAATTCTACGATCGAATTTAACATCATAACATATGTAAAGAAATTTACTCTTTATATTCAGATCCTGAGCGTATCCGATCTTCACTTGTCCACCTTTCGCGTTCACCACATACGACCTCTTGATGGAATTATCGTAGCCGTCGATCCAGAACACGTACTCCGACCTGGGATCGAAATCCAGTGCCTGCACCCTTTTCTCGTTGGCAATGACTTCAAGCTCCTCCTTGTTGTGTGGGTTGTAAGCCCTAATCCCAGGTCCATTGGCAAACAGGATCATCGTGTCGGTGTCCGTAGCTCTGCAAACGCCACTGCGACTGTCGGACAGTTCGAACCCTTGTCTGCACGAACAGGAGTAGGTGCCATTTAGATTCGTACAAAGTTGAGAGCATTGGTGTTGACCGGTGGCACACTCGTCGATATCCTCGCAATGCTTCCGGTCGTCTTGCGCTATTATGTAGCCAGGGTAACACGCGCAAATGTATCCCCCATCGGTGATGTTGTGACAGTAGTGGGAACAACCACCCTTGTTGCTATCCAGACAGGGTTTATTATGATCTACGAGAGGAAAGATATTGATGAAATATTTCATTATACAAATGTTTGAAATATTTGGAACGTTCAATCGTACTTCAATTAAAATTTCTGTGCGACTAAAAACTACTAAAACTCCATGCAATTGAAATTTCTGTAAATGCGATCGTCAATCGGGTTTCTCGAACTTACGGCAACCGAGTTCGTCGGAGGAGTCTCCGCAATCGTCCGCGAAGTCGCACAGCTTCAGTCGATTGATGCATTTCTTATTGGCGCACGTGTACTCTATCATGGGGTCGCACGGATGAACCCTTGACGCGCACATGGTCATATTGTTCTCGTCAGAGCCATCACCGCAGTTGTCGATCCCGTCGCACAGTTGATACTTGGCGATGCACTTGTGATTGGCACACTGGAACCTCCTGGTTGTGTCGCACTTGAAGTTCGCTGCAAGGTGTGCAAAATAATAACGCCATTAAACACTGCAATTGAAAGAGATTAGATAGTAAATAACATCACCATTTTGTAACTTTCTTCTTTTAACACGTTGATTTGCACGATGGAGAATTACTTAATTTTTGCAATACAATATATAATATATCAATTAAAATATAAAATATTTCAACTAAATGTCTCTGATTCATGAATACGTTTTTTTCATTTCACAATATTATCTAGTTAGCTATGGATGTTTGGTATTTGTCAATTGAATGTTGGTGAATGTTCATTTTATTTTACTTATTTGAAGGATTTGAAGCATTCCAGTCGCTGAGGACTACCATGGCCCAATATCTCTCCAGTCAATAACCAATGTGTTAAAAGTCAACGTGTTAAACAAAATGGTGGATAAAACTAAAAACTGCTAAAATATGTCTCCTCATCTTGTCTATAGACTCTTCATAGCAATATAACTCAACTGTAAATACAATATTAACATTATATTGTAATATACATAATTAATATAGTGTTGTAATATATCATAACAAATATATAATATATATATATATATA